AGAGACGGGGTTTCACCGTGTTGACCAGGATGGTCTCGATCTCTTGACCTCGTGATCCACCCGCCTCAGCCTCCCAAAGTGCTGGGATTACAGGCTTGAGCCACCGCGCCTGGCCTGATGTTTCAAAATTACATCTTTATACATTGTGTGTCCAAAAATAAAAACTCATAATTATTTTTAATGCATTAGTCTTTTAAATTATATAGAAAATATGTGAAGTTACAAACCAAAGTTACAATAATACTAGCCTTTAGACTAATAAAGATTTAGACTAATAGGCCAAGGTTTTCTATTTCTTCATTGATATTTCCATTTTGTTCATACATCATTTTCTTGAGTTTCTTCATGTCTTCCATTAAAGATACTTCCTTTATGTATCTTTAACGCAATTATTTTAACATTTTTGTTTAATGGTTATTCCACATGGTCTTTCTCAGTGGTAGTTGTGTTGGTTTATCTTTTCCCTTTGAATGGGGCATACTTTCCTGTTTGTATGCCTTGTGATTTTTGTTGAAAACTGGACGTTTGAATCTTATGATGTGGTAAACCCTGGAAATTAGGTTCTCTCCCCTCTCCAAGGTTTGTTGTTATTTTTGTCTTGTTTTGGCTTTTATGGTGTTAAGCTGTCTCTGTGGCAAGGATTAGCCTGAGGTGTGAATTTAACATATTGGGTCTTTTCTGAACCTTGACCCTTCTCTAACTAAGCACAGTGACTTCTAATTCCCCCTCATATGTGCAATTGTTTTTGAATGCCCTGGTCTTTAACACCTGGCTCTCAAAAGGGGAAAAAAAGAAAAACAAAGCGGGTGAGGGGAGGACACCAACCATTTAACTTCCTTGGAAGTTGCTTTAGCTAAAGGAGAAGGGGCTTGCAACTGTCCGTGGGGTGGATATAACAATGGCTGTTCATCTGTGTTTGCATCTCTGTGATCAGAGCAGCAATCAGTGATCAGACATTAATCCTGATATTTGGATTTTGGATATTGCCCACCTTGGCTTCCATAAGTCAAGGCACATGCAAGCTGCTCCTGTAGCTTGTACACTACCTGCCATGGGACTGGGGATGGAAGATGGGTAACTGCCACCAGCCAAGAGCCGACATTGACCAAAATTAATCACAGTTTGTAATCCATACCTTACCCCTACCAGTTGCAAGCCTTCAATAGACTCCAGAGTTCCAAAATAGTTACATCAAATTTTGCCAGTCTCATTTAGGCAGTGAGACAGATTTCCGGTGCTTCCTACTCTGCCATCTTCCCCGAATCAGATCCCTTTACCTTCATGTTTGAAAGATAATTTAGCTACATATAAGATTCTTGATTGAATTTTCCCTTCAGCACCTTGAATATACCATCCACTGCCTTTTGTCCTCCATTTTTTCTAATGAGAACTTCAGCTGTTAATCTTGTTGCCCTTGTAACTAGTCATTTTTCTCTTACTGCTTTCAAATTGTTTGTCTTTCAGCATTTTTTACTATTATGTCTGGGAGATCTCTGCATTTATTCTACTTGGTCTTTATTAAGCTTCTTGAATGTGTGCTTTTTCATCAAACTTGAGCTAGTCATTACTTCTTCCAATATTTTTTCTGCTCTCCCCCGCCCCCCTTCTTCTAGTACTCTCATTATGCATATTTGGTGGGTTTAATGGTGTCCCATATTTCTCTGGGCCTCAGTTCATTTTTCTTCATTCTTTTTTTTTTTCTGTTTTTCGGATAGCATGATCTGTACCTCAGGTTCACTGATTTTTCTTCTGCCAGCTTGAACTACTGTTGAGCTTCTTTAGTGAATTTTCATTCTGATATCACACAACTCCCGAATTCCATTTAGTTCTTTTCTATTTGTATCTCCTTGATATTTTCTTTTTGATGAGATACTGTCATCATACCTTGCTTTGCCTCTTTAGGCATGGTTTCCATTAGTTCTTTTGAATGTCCTTATAATGGCTGTTTTTATTAAAATCCTTATTAAGTCTGGCATCTGGGCCCTCTCACTGTCTACTTCTGGTGAAGCTTTTTCCACCCCGTGTATGAAACATTTTCTTTTTTCTCTGCATGTCTCATAACTTTTTGTTGAAAACTGGATGTTTTAGATCACATACTGTAGGACGTCTAGACACTGACTCCAGCCACCCACTCACCCTCATTCTCTGAGGCTTGCTGTCATTGCTTGCTCCTTATTTTTGAAACAGGTCTCACTGTTACCCAGGCCAGAGTGCAGTGGCGTGATCTTGGCTCATTCCAGCCTTGACCTCTCAGACTTAGTCATCTGCCCAGCAGCCTCTTGAGTAGCTGGGACTACAGGCACATGCCACCATACCTAGCTAATTTTTTTTTTTTTTTTGGAGACAGAGTCTGGCACTGTTGCCCAGGCTATAGTGCAGTAGTATGATCTCAGCTCACTGCCACCTCCATATCCTGGGTTCAAGTAATTCTCCTGCTTCAGCTTCCCGAGTAGCTGGGACTACAAGCGTGCGCCACCACATCCAGCTAAATTTTTCGTATTTTTAGTAGAGACGGGGTTTCACCATGTTGACCAGGATGGTCTCTATCTCCTGACCTCGTGATCCACCTGCAGTGGCCTCCCAAAGTGCTGGAATTACAGGCGTGAGCCACTGTGCCCGGCCAATTTTTTTTTTTTTTTTTTTTAAGAGATGGGATTTCACCATGTTGCCCAGGCTGGTATTAAACTTTTGAGTTAAAGCAATCTGCTCATCTCAGCCTCCCAAAGTGCTGGGATTTCAGGCATATGCCACTGTGCCTGGCCCTGTTTGTGCCTTTATTACTTGGCTGCACTAATTTAGTTAAGTTTATGTCTTCTTCAGTGTGAAGTCTCTAATTTCATTCCTTAAAAGGGGCCGCTTTAGGTATACAGTCACAAGATGTAACGGTAGTTTTGGTTGGGCCTGGTGGCTCATGCCTGTAATCCCAGCACTTTGGGAGGCTGAGGTGGCAGATCAGAAGGTCAGGAGTTCGAGTCCAGCATGGTCAATATGGTGAAACCCCATCTCTACTAAAAACGCAAAAATTAGCTGGGCACGGTGGCACCCACCTGTTAATCCCAGCTACTCAGGAGGCTAAGTCAGGAGAATCACTTGAACCCGGGAGGTGGAGGTTGCAGTGAGCCAAGATCACGCCAGGGCACTCCAGCCTGGGCTACAGAGCAACACTCTGTCTCAAAAAACAAAAAAAATCATATTTTCAGCAGGACTGCCTTTGACTGCTAATTTTCCTAACTGCGTTTGTTGGCATTACACTCAGCTGTTAGCCTCCAATTTCAGTTGATTACTGTATTGTTTTTGACAATGCCCTTACACATGAATTGCTCCACAGTGTGATCCTATTAAATTTGGGCCCCTTTGCAGGGGTTATTTTTTGAGGCTAGTTTTTGAGATCTGATCTGACCCCAGGAGGGCCCTTCTTAGCTGGGTCTTCCTCTGGTGCTCTCTGGCTGGTAAATTACTAGCCTACAATTTGGCTGTTGTGAAGCTACTGGCTTCCTTGTTTGCGTACCACTCAATTCTCCACTGTTTTCGAGCATCCTTAGGCTTGAACTTTCCCACGCTGTTCCAAATTGTCATTTCCTTTGCAAATAGCTTGAGAGCTCTCTGTTCTTATAAATCTGCATCTCCCTTGGGAAAATCTGAGCCATTGCTCTGGAGCTAAGAGTGAGGACAGTGGCCTGCTTCTCTGGGAGTTACATGCCTACTTTATGGGCTCAGTCAAGACAAGAGCCTTTGGTCTTCTTTGCTTACTTCTCCTGGCACAGAAAATCCACCTTGAGTGAGGTATGGAGAGGGTGATCAAAGACCCTGTGTCTTGGCCTGCCATACCTATGGTAGAGCCTCTGCCTTGAGTGGAAGTTGGGGGTAGGGAGTCCCTGACCTTTTGGCTGGACACTCCTGGAATTTAGTCGTCTCTGCAACACAAAGCTAGAAGGACATGAGAATACTGGCGACCAACCCCTCCCTGGAAGATACCATAGCCCTTGATTGGGAGTTGAGGGAGTACTATCTTCTTGATCACATCCAAGAAGATTGAGTGGAGCTTCAAAGTAGAACTTCTATAGCACTAAGTTGGGATGGGGGTTTGGTTAGGGAGAAAATGGGTTGTAGCCTACATGCCACACTCAGTGTTCTTATGGAGATTTAGTAGTCTTGCCTTATATCATTTGCTATATTCCCTTAGGACAATTTGCAGAGACTTTAAATGGTTATTTTAAAAATATTTTTTCTTGCCGGTACACTCCGGAAGTCATTTTTCTATTAAATTCTTGTTTGTATTCTATAGTTTACCTCACCAAAAACTAAAACAATGAAGTTTATTTGTATCCCTTAGGATATTTTAAAAATAAAATTTTTATAATCTCAAGACATAAAATACTGTGAATTTAAAGAGAACAAATAAAAATTCAACAGATTTTTAATTTAAAAAATATTTATCATTCAGAAAAATCTCAGTAGAATAAAACTATATCGAAGGTTTAAAAAGACATAGAATTGTAAGAGAACGTTACCTTGAGCAAATTTTTCAATTACTTTTAATAGTTTTGCTTATTTCCAAAGCACTGCTGTTTCCTCTTCAATCTTTTTCTTTCATGTGAGTGATTGTACTTTAAGACACAAGAATATATAAAATCATAATGCCAAGCAACACTAGTTACCATCAGCCAAGAGCGATGTTCTTCACTTACTGGTTGGTCATCCAACATACATTACTCATCCAAATAACAGGAAGAGTAATAACTAAGCAAGAAAATCTATTCTTTTTCTTTAAATGCTATTCAGAGTGGACTATCTTTTTAAAATTCTGGAACACAAATGGATTTTAAAATATATTATATTGCTTACTCCCAACTTTATAAAAGCTATGTTGCGTATGTGTACACATGTACATATACATATATATATGTACATGTGTACACATACTCATACATATATATATATGTATTTTGTAGCCCACTCTGGGTGCAGTATTACCATTTTGGCTCACTGCAACCTCTGCCTCCCAGGTTCAAGCGATTCTCCTGCCTCAGCCTCCTGAGCAGCTGGGACTACAGGCATTCACTACCACGCCTGGCTAATTTTTGTATTTTTAGTAGAGACGGGGTTTCACTGCATTGGCCAGGCTGGTCTCAAACTCCTGACCTCGGGCGATCTGCCCACCTCTGCCTCCCAAAGTGCCGGGATTACAGGCATGAGCCACCACGCCTGGCAACACATGTATACTTTTTTAGTACTAAAAGATGATCACGGAATATTAACACAAGCTAAAAAGCCCCTATCATGTGAAACTTTCATTTGCCATCACCATTATTATTATACTTCTAAGAAAGAGATCATATAAATTATAGCTGAAAGAAAAAAAAATATCCCCTCATGTACTTGGATTTCCAAGTACCAAGTTTTGCTATGTTCTTACTGCAACAACAGAATTATTTTTAGTATACATAACTGGTATACAATTAGTAAACATTTAAATTACTTTTTAAAAACTTAAAACTTCAATTGGAATGGGATAAGCCAAGCAGCATTTCAAGTGACCTTGAGATTTGCATTATAAGGCAGCATTAAAAGATTGAGACCTTATCCCTGCATTTGTGTCAGACTGTTTCACCATGCCTGAACAGAACCCATTTTTACCTTTTCTTGGCAATGTTATAAACAATACAATAGACAATTCAGAAATAAGTACCTGCACCTCAAACTTCTGTTTTAACTACTATAAATTATTTAAATGAAAGCAGTTGCTATGCATGCTGCTTGCTCAGTTCTCTCCAAATGGGGATTTGTCTGTTGTGAAAAGAAAGTAGCTTGAGGTTAAATAACAATGCTAAGATGCTAAGTAATTATGGTTTCTATTTTTATAATCTAACCTGGATTCTTCGTTCTGGGAAACACACACAGTATTTGTCTTTTATGCAGAAGAGTATTTAGGTTGAAGGTATATACTTTTCAGGATATTTAGGAATAAGCCTAAATATTCCTGAATACTTTCCAGGAATTGCTAGAAAGATGACATATAAAACCAAACTTCTTGAATACTTTGTATCTTCTAAAAACAGTTATGAGTTCCATGAATAACCTATAAAAGTCTTCCGATTGATTAGCATTAGTTCTAAATGATGTTATCAGACTACGTAACTTCAAGTAATTTTCTAATCATTATTTCTATATTTGAGATACTGGTTCTTAATACATCAAATCTCCATGAATCACAGTGCTATCCACTGGCAGCATGGCAGTGAATTACAATGAAAACCAGTTCTACAAAAGACACTTTGAACGTCATTGTTTCACACCTTTAATACTGTCTTAAAAGGTCTATTACTCTTCAACTATCTTAGTGTACTCTGAAATATAGAAGTAATAATTATCATTGGAACAGTAATTCTAAATCTAAATAGATAACTCCTATAGCAATATTTGTTTACTCGGAACATATTTTCATTTCAAATATATGTAAAATTTCTCACAAAGTCAGAACACAACTCACAGTTTGAACAGAAACCTCAGTGTTTAAATCTCAACATTCAGCAAAATAAACACTACATAGTAGGTTGCTTTTGAATATAAATCACTCATTTAAGTAAATGGGATATAATTTCTAACTTGTGTTAAACGTGAAGAAATAATTTTTTTTATGTGAAGCCCTGCCCCAAATCAGTCAAGTGCAAGATTATCATATGATACAAATCAAACTCTACTAGCACAACACATTTGTCAGAGACTTGAAGCAGATCTATAACTATAGTTGGGGACTGAATATCCTAGAAAAAAGCATATCATAGATCAGGCCTCAGTTTTTATTACTTCACTGATAACAATGCCTTACTTTATTTATTGAAGAATGTTTCTTCCACTGAAAATACACTTCTAATTTTATAATGCTAGACAGGACGGTAGGAGAAAAACTAGGAGCCCACTTAAAAAAAAAAAAAATCCACTCTGATATGGAATGACTTTTCTGCTATGTAGACAATCAAATTTTTTTTTCTTTTTAAGTACTGACTTGCCATTTTATCCTTGATAACTGATTCTGAAAGATAAATGAGCCTTGTGACTTTACATATGAGAATATGTACATATACATATATTCTGAGAAGTTATGTCCCATGATCTGACCCATACTTCTGATTTAAAATATAACTAGTTCTCTCAATAAAACAGTATTACGTTTTAAACTTAAATCACCCCTTTACTGCATTGTTCTCATTCTCTTTACTTTTTATTTTTACATTATTTCTATAAATACTAAAAAAACCCAAAAATCTCCAATCTTGAAACCAACTTAGAGGTCTGAGGTTAGCTTATAACTTTTAAAATATTTTGTTAAAATGTAAAAAACCTGAAACTACAAACAAAAATTTTTAATTTTACAGTATATATCGAATTCTTTTTAAAAAAATATTCTGAACTGTTTTTATATAAGTAACAAGTGTTATTTTTTTAAATGAAACTCCTCTACAGGCTAGAAGAGGATATGTGGTATTGCCCCATTAGAAATCAATACACATTTCATTTTATTATGCTGGTACTTCGACTATTTCAAAGTAGTCATTTGGTAGAATCACATAACCTCTTTCTGATACGTCGTCTTTCTCTTTCTGGAAGTGAACAACCTCCTTTAATTTTTCAAGCTGCCGTTCTTGCCTTCTACATCGCTGCTGTGCGGTCTTGAGCTTTTTTCTGAGTTTTTCAACTTGCTGTTCTAGCTGATGAATCCTTTTCCGCTGGTGCATTGTATCCTCGACAGTATAGTTGTGGTCACAGAAAACTGAGAGATTAACAGGGGTCTGAAGAGGTGGCATTAGTAATCCAATAGCAGCATCAACCTGGGAAACAGGAGGCGGTAAAGGAGGTGGGGGAAGCTGTTCTTGTGGCTCCAGAAGATCGTCTTTCTAAAACAAAAATACAGAGAATGTTTGAATTTATTACTAAAAATAACAGTTTAAAAAAAATCTGTGGACTGACTGGACACAGTGGCTCACACATGTAACTCTAGCACTTTGGGAGGAAGAGGCGGGCAGATCACCTGAGGTCAGGAGTTTGAGACCAACCTGGCCAACATAGCGAAACCCCGTCTCTACTAAAAATATGAAAATTAGCCGGGCGTGGTGGGAGGTGCCTGTAATCACAGCTACTCAGGAGGCTGAGGCAGGAGAATCACTTGAATCCGGGAGGTGGAGGCTGCAGTGAGCCAAGACCGTGCCACTGCACTCCAGCCTGGGTGACAGAGAGAGACTCTGTCATTACAAAAAACAAACAAACAAACAAAAAAACAAAAAATAAATAAAATAAAAGAAGCTGTGGAATTTAAGAAATACTATTTTTTTTTCTTTTTGGTAAATCAGTGGTATAGAAACATTCCAAAATAAGACGTTTCAGTTTGAATAAACTTTTCTACCAGAAATAGAAGGACAATGCAAGAAAGAAATAAAATGAATAATTAGATCTAATTAAATACTGAGCACTGAGGAGAAAAAATGCTTTGAAACTAAACTGCCACCAATAAAGAAAACCCATAACTTATCAATATATAACTGCTGGTACAGATTGATTTTTAAGTAAGTTACAAAGCTGGACTGAGTTTCTTAGTGTGAGGATATTTATCTTTAATAAACTACATTTTGGGTTTTTCAGAAGTGTATCACTGTTAACTACAAGGTTCCAGGTACATTTATTCTCTTAACACTAACTGAATTTTCAAAATTTTAATCAATGAACACATTAATTTTATGAACAGAAAGCAACCCAATATTTTAAAACGCATATTACCTTGTCATGTGGTTCAGTACAAAGAAATATTGTGGGCACGGCGTTCTCTTTCAGTAACTTGTTGTTGCACTCCCTCTTAAAGCAGTCTGGAGTAAAGTGCTCTGAACAAATACTGCTATACTTGGTGGGTTTAAAGTTTTTTCTTCTGACAGCTGCCTCCCATTCTTTACAAAGACTGGGTCGAGTAAGAGGAAACCTAAGAAGAAGGCATAATTCAATTATCTGACCTGGTTTTTAAAAATAAATAAAGGTACCCAAACTTGCCAGTTTAGGAAAGATCTTATATTGGTATTAAAGATGTTACAATGGTATTATGATATTGGATTCAAGATTAGCTTTAGTTATCTATTTATCTCACTTATTTATTTATTTATTTTGAGACGGAGTCTTGCTCCATTGCCCAGGCTGAAGTGCAGTGCTACAATCTCGACTCACTGCAACCTCCGCCTCCTGGGTTCAAGCAATTCTCTGCCTCAGCCTCCCGAGTAGCTGGGATTACAGGTGCCCTCCACCACGCCTGGCTAATTTTTGTATTTTTAGTAGCGACAGGGTTTCACCATCTTGGTCAGGCTGGTCTTGAACTCCTGACCTCGTGATCCACCAACCTCGGCCTCCCAAAAGTGCTGGGATTACAGGTGTGAGCCACCGTGCCCAGCCTGTGTCATTTATTAATGTTTCGCTTTTTTTACACTGAGTTCACCAAAAGGCTCAAATACATACTATAGAATAAATGTGCCTCTGGCTCATGCCTGTAATCCCAGCACTTTGGGAGGCCAAGGTCCGAGGGATTGCTTGAGTTCAAGAGTTTGAGACTAGCCTGGGCAACATGGCAAAATCCTGTCTCTACAAAAAAAATACAAAAATTAGCTCGGCATGGTGGTATGTGGCCAGGTACTCAGGAGGATGAGGTGGGAGGATCACTCGAGTCAGGGAGGTCAAGGCCGCAGTGAGCCAAGATTGTTCCACTGCACTCCAGCTTGGGTGACAGAGCCATACCCTGTCTCGAAAAGAAAAAAGTAATCTGTCTTCTTATTTTTTACCAGGAATTTTCTGTGTGCTGCACAGAAAGACAGATTGCACATTTGTATCTATGTACTGGGAAAAAGAGGCTTCTAGTCTAGTTCTCTTAGTATCAGTCTGACAAATACAAACAGGTTAAATTTGAATTAAACACAGGTAATGATAAAGAGAGAAAAGTATTTTCTAATCAACTGGGATGTCCATCAGGCTCAGGTAAAGGAGGATAGTGAGAGTTTACATTTATCGTGTTTTACTCTTCCAAGTTAAGGATCTGGTAAACTGAGGGGATTAGGATAAAAAAAAAAAAAAAAAAAAAAAAAAAAAAAAAAAAAAAAAAAAAAAAAAAAAAAAAAAAAAAAAAAAAAAAAACAAATGGAAAAAAAAAAAAAAAAAAAAAAAAAAAGGGAAGGACATTTTGAATTTATGTTCCACAGTTTCTCTTCCATGTTCAGTATGCTACAGCCTGACTCTGCTATTAAGAGATCTTTATTAGAGTCCCTTTTCTTTGTACAACATAGCTCTCTCTACTGCCACTATGCAGAAGCTGGGAGAAGTATTACTGCTAAAGTATCTCAGCTGGAAATGGCCTCTATAGGTATAAACTATGGTAGCATTCGCTGGTAAAATTCAGTATGCAGGGCCTCCTGTCTTAAGGACAATAAATTTACAGCTGTTTGTGAGATTCTGTTAAGATCTTTCCCATCTACTCCCAACGCCTGCTCTTTTAGATAAGGATAAGGTGCAGGTTAGCCCTTCTTTTGATTCATTTCACACCTGTTTAACATCTAGCAGAAACACAGTGGGTTTTTTTTTCCTTGTTTGTTTTTGTTTTTTGAGACAGAGTCTCCCTCTGTCACCCAAGCTGGAGTGCAGCGCGAGATCTCAGCTCACTGCAACCACCATATCCTGGGTTCAAGTGATTCCCCTGCCTCAGCCTCCCCAGTAGCTGGGATTACAGGCGTGCACCACCACTCCCAGCTAATTTTTGTATTTTTAGTAGAGACAGCGTTTTGCCATGTTGGCCAGGCTGGTCTCGAACTCCTGACCTCAGGTGATCCGCCCACCTTGGCCTCCCAAAGTGCTGGGATTATACGCGTGAACCACCGCGCCTGGCCAAAAACAGTTACTTCTGACGTGTGAATACCATCCTTAGCTAGTTTCCAGTGCCGATGAAACATTTTCCATATTTTTAGATTCCTTCTGCCATGCCATCAGAAATGTGGGCTGGGGAGCTGCGCATGTAATCAATCCTGTTACCATCACCTGACCTATTCCTACATTTTGAAAGAGCATGTTTACAGAAACTCCAATTAAATCAGGAGATAATACTGGGACATCCTGAACGTGTTCTATCCCCTTCAGTAACATCATTACTGTGGAGACCTCTCACACTCTTATTTCTATAGGGTCCATCTCACATGATATCAAACATATGAAAAATTCATGGAAACTCCCCTAGTAAACATAGATGGCCCCACACCAAAATAAATAAATAAATAAATTTAAAGACTATTTAACATTTTGCTTTTGTAATTATTTACCTAATTATAAAAGATAATTAGCTAATTACCTATGGCTAATTTGTATAGTTTACCCCTGGATCTGATTTCTTAGCTATCATCCGCGTATAGTCGTGAGGAATTCTTGCAAAGAAAACTTAATATAACTGTAATTAAAATTCAGCTGAATGAAAATATTATGTCACATTTTACAAGCGTTTGATAGTAATTTCAACTTTGCACGTTTTTCCCATTTTCAAGAGAATATTTTTGATCCTAGCACTCTTAACTGCGCTATCTATTGGATAAAACAGCTCTGAAAGCTGTGTGGAGTTTCCTCCGCAAGGGCTTCCTCTATTAACACGTAATGCCATAATAAATAAAGGTCAGTTTGAGCCATTTTATTATGATCTATGTTGTAACTGTTCGTATTATCATTATTGTGTGCCGAAAAGATAACGATTTATCTTGGCAGTACCTGAAGCTTTCTCCAAAACTTAGGGTCCTTAAAGCTTAGTTCCTAGAGATTGGGGGCAAAAATTCTCCCTGATTTCCCAGGCAAAAAATCAACTCTTAATTGTTACGATGCTGGCTTCCCATCCACCGTTAAGGGCGAAAAAGGTAGTGATTTCTTCGTTTAAAGGCCTTTGTTTCTAGTTCAGATTCACCCCTAACACGTTATTACACCTGGCTGGTCTGTGACCATAGTGGTGACAAAATCCGCGGACCCGAGGCATCGCCCGCGGGCTCCGCAGTCCTCAACCGAGGCCGCGAGCGAAGCCTGCACCCAGGGCCCGGTTCTGGAGCGCAAGAAACGGCCGCCACGGCGACGCGCGCCGAGAACGCGCAGCCGGGCGGCGGTTCCCCACGGGACGCGGTGGGAAACGCCCCGCGCGGCCGGCCCCAGACCCCGCCCGCCCCTCGCGCGGACACGCGCCTGGCTCCGCCCCCGGCCCCGCCGGCCGCGCGCCCCCACCCCGGCTGGGACCGGCCCCACGAGGCGCGCAGGGTCCTCACTTGTGGAAAGAAACTGGCTTGTCTTTGTCGTAGCGGTTCTTGCAGCCGTAGGCGGAGCAGGACTGCACCATCCTTCCGGTCCTCAGACACTTCACTTCTGCCGCCGCAGAAGGCAGGGGAAGCTGCTTTCAGTGTCGCCGCGTTCGGTTGGACACCCTCGTTTCTTTTGTAGCTTTGGCCAACAGTTACAGTGATGGTGGCCTCCCTCGGGGGTGACTAGTGTGCCCGTTTTGTTGTTTGCATTAGCAGAAGGACCACAGCCATCGCCCGTCTCCCATCTCCAAGATGGCGGAGGCAGCTTCAACCTCACCTATCGCGAGGGGTGCGTCCTACTGTCTCTGATTACTCCGAGGTCAGAGGTAACCTTTCCCGGGAAGCTGACTATTGGCTGAAGCCAGGTGTTTCCGGCGGTGGCTTCGCAGTTGCGGAAGTGGGCGGAGCCCTGAGCCTCCGGCCGGAAGGAAGGGACTGTTTGGAGGAGGAGGTGCGGCGGGAGGCCGGATTCCAGGGGCCACCTCAAACCCCGGGCTGTTCCGGTGGATTAATTGATATGGAGCTTTCCTGGGGCGGCTTAGAGTAGTAAACAACTGGGGCCTCTTGGAGAACAGATGTAAAGCCGAGGTCGTTGTCTGATTCCTCCCATTTCTTTAAAAGAGCGGGCACAGATGGTGTATGATTCATAAAATTGTGGAACCTTTTCCCAGAATGCTGATCTTTATCCCATTGCCTGTCTCTTCAGGTATCACAAGGCTCTGTGAGAGCCAACGTGACAGGTTTTTAGGAATGAAAAAAGACACTCACCAAAGCATCTCAGTTGCCAAACGCAGAAGCATTATAATATGTATTTTATGTATATACATGTATGCGTGTGTACATATATATGTATATATATAATTTAAAAATGGAGACAGTGTCTCCCCACGTTGCCTAGGCTGGTCTGGAACTCAAGTCCAAGGGATCCGGCCTCCCAGTGGCCTGGGATTACAGGAGTGAACCACCAGGCCCTCTCCAGAAGCTTTTATGAAGGGATGTCCATTGCTGTGATTTCCATGTGCTGTGTTGTAAATCGTAAGCTGCTGCAGCAACTTTTCACATCTGAGAGAGGCTATGTCAGAGGGGTTCTAAACTAGAGCGACTCTGTTGAGTGAGGGCTAGGAAGATGAGGATGAGACTTGCTGGGCTGCATTCCCGGAAAGTTAGGCATTCCTAGCCTCTAGATGTTTACAGTGAAGGCAACAGATTGATAATATTTACTAAACAGACCCAGACTTCCAAGTGTCCGGATATCCTGATATTTTGAGAACAGACACATTCCTAATTTTGCTTTAAAGATAATATTGGGCAGGGAGGGTGCAGTAGCTCAGGCCTGTAATCCCAGCACTTTGGAAGGTGGAGGTGGGCGGATCACCTGTGGTCAGGAGTTCGAAACCAGCCTGGCCAACATGGTGAAACCCTTCTCTTATAAAAATACAACAGTTAGCCGAGTGTGGTGGCACATGCCTCAAATCCCAGCTACTCTGGAGGCCAAGGCAGGAGAATCACTTGATCCTGCCGAGGTTGCAGTGAGCCATGTTTGTGCCACTGCATTCCAGCCTGGGTGACAGAGTGAGACTCTGTCTCATAAAGATGATATTGATTCTTACATAATACAGTAATGAATCATTTATCACAAACCCTTCTGGTAGAGCACATCTCCCATGATCTTTTTTTATCCTGTATATAAACAAATGTATCTTTTACTTTCGGGAACACCCTGCTCTCTCTATGGAGTAGCTGTACTTTCACCACTTTATGTTCTTAATAAACTTGCTTTTGCTTTGCACTGTGGACTCGCCCTGAATGCTTTCTTGCGCAAGATCCAAGAACCCTCTGTTGGGGTCTGGATTGGGATACCTTTCTTGTAACAGTTTTACTTAATTCCCTGCTCCTTTTCTTTACATAGATCTGAGCCAGGCAAACCTGGAGAGCATACTTTTAAGTAATTCCTTGGCCCTTATTCTCTACCTTTCCTGCCCCCTTAAATGTTGGTGTTTCCCCAGGGTTCTATCCTCTAACTCCTAAACACCTGCTCCTTGAACTGAATCAAATGCCATGATTCTCTCATCTTTTATTTCCTTTGTAAATCTGTTCTGCCTTCAGGATTATAATCTGTGAATTACCCGTTCAACAGTTGCCTAAACTAGAAGCCTTGGAATCATCTTGGATTTTTTTCTCACCCATAAAACCCTTTAATGACCAGGTTAATTTTATAGACTAAATAAATAAAAGCCTCTTAAATCCATCCCTCTGTATGTCTCTTCACTGTTATTATTTTTTGAGAGGGAGTCTCGCTCTGTTGCCCGGGCTGGAATGCAATGGTGCGATCTCGGTTCACTGCAACCTCCGCCTCCTGGGTTCAAGTGATTCTTCCTCTTCAGCCTCTTGAGTAGCTGGGATTACAGGCACTTGCCACCATGGCCGGCTAATTTTTGTATTTTTGCATTTCTGTAGTGATGGGGTTTCACCATGTTGGCCAGGCTGGTCTCAAACTCCTGACCTCAGGCGATCCACCCGCCTCAGCCTCCTAAAGTGCCGGGATTACAGGTGTGAGCCACTGCACCTGGCCCTCACTGTTCTTTAATTATTTTTATTATTATGTTTAATAGAGATGAGGTCTCACTGTGTTGCCCAAGCTGGTCTCAAATTCCTAGGTTTAATCTATCTGCTGGCCTTGGCCTCCCAAAGTCCTGGGACTCCAGGCGTGAGCCACCATGCCTGGTCTCCTCACTGTTGTTGACCAAGCCCTCATGGTCTTAACCTTGCAGCAACCCTTCAACTATCCTAGTCTCCAGTTTTACCTCTCTCCATTCCATCTTCCATAGAAACTGCCACACCCCTGCTCATATCTTTCCAAGGCTACCTGCTGTACTGAATAAAATCCAAACTTCTTATGGTGAGTTATAAAGCTCTTTAGGACCAGGTACTTTACTCTTCCACCATAATTTCCCTCCACTTGTCTTTATCTCTGTTCTAGCTTTATGTCGTAGAGGGCAAGCTCTTTTGTGGCTTCTTTAAATAGGTTGTTTTCTTTGGCTTGAAATGCCCATCACTGACCTGTCTACCCTTAAGATGTGGTGTGATGGCCTGGTGCAGTGACTCACACCTGTAATCCCAGCACTTTCAAAGGCTGAAGCAGGCGGATCTCGTGAGTCCAGGTGGTCACAACCAGCCTAGGCAACATAGTGAGACCCTGTCTCTACAAAAAAAATACAAAAATTAGCCGGGTGTGTGTTGGCACACACCTGTAGTCCCTGATACTTGGGAGGCTGAGGTGAGAGGATCCCTCGAACCCAGAAGGTCAAGGCTGCAATGAGCTGTGGTCATGCCATTGTACTCCAACCTGAACAACAGAATGAGACCCTGTCTCAAGCAAACAAACAATTGCCATGAGCTGGGTGTCAGGGCTCAGGAGGCTGAGGCATGAGGATTATTTGAGTCGTGTTCAAGACCAGCCTGGACAACACAGCGAGACACTGTCTCTAAAATTTTTTTTTAATTAGTTGGGCATGGTGGTGCACGTCTGTAGTCCTAGCTACTCGGGACGCTGAGGCAGGAGAATTGCTTGAACCCAGGAGGCGGAGGTTGCAGTGAGCCAAGATCGCACCATTGCACTCCAGCCTGGGTAACAAGAGTGAAACTCTGTCTCAAAAAAAAAAAAAAAAAAAAAAAAAAAAAAAAAAAAAAAAAAACCCATACAAAAAAAAAAAAAAAAAAAAAAAAAAAAGACAACACTGAAGTTTGCTGCATCGATTGACTCTTCCTTTCACTAAAGATTTCTCTGTAGCAAGTAACAGCATTTTACTCACAGTAGAACTTCTTTCAGAATTGGAGTTAATCCTCTGAAACCCCGCCACTGTCCTCCCATGAATTATTTATGTTCTTCAGGTCATCTAGAATGGCGAATCCTTTCCAGAAGGTTTTCAACTGACTTTGCCCAGATACATCAGAGGAATCACTATCTATGGCAGCTATAGGCTTACAAAATGTATTTCTTAGGTAATAAAACTTGAAATTCAAAATACCCCTTGATTTATGGGACTGCAGAATGATGCTGTGTTATAGGTATGAAAACAACATTAATCTCCTTGTACATCTCCGTTTGAGCTCTTGGGTGACCAGGTGCATTGTCAATGAGCAATATTATTTTGAATCTTTTTTTCCGAGCAGTAGGTATAACAGTGGACTTAAAATTTTCAGTGAACCAAGCTGTAAATAGATGTGCTATCATCCAGACTTTATTATTCCATTTATTGAGCACAGGCAGAGTAGATTTACCAACATTCTTAAGACTAATAGGATTTCTGAAATAGTAAATGAGCATTGGCTTCAACTTAAAGTCATCAGTTACATCAGAGAGTCAGCCAGTCCTGTGAAGCTTTAAAGCCAGGCATTGAATTCTCCTTCTTGGCTACTAAAAGTACTATGTGACATCTTCTTCCAATAGAAGACTGAACTATCTACATTGGAAATCTGCTGTTAGTGTAGCCACCTTCATTAATGATCTTAGCTGGATCTTCTCGAGAACTTGCTGCAGCTTCTCCATCAGCACCTGCTGCTTCACCTTGTACTTTTATGTTATGGAGATGGCTTTTCTCCTTCAACCTCCTGAACCGACCTCTGCTAGCTTCCAACTTCATTCTGCAGCTTCCTCACCTCTCTCAGCCTTCACAGAATTGAACAGGATTTGGTTTAAGGGAA